TTTCTGTTCGTTTCTAGAATCTGGTTGGTTGGAGGTGGAGTGAATTTGAATGGATGGCAAAGTGTGTGAGAGCATGTGTGTGTGTTGTGTTATGCATAATTTAATTAATAGATGAGGAAGGAAGATAAGGGTATATGGTAGATTTTTTCTTTCTTTCTTTCTTTCCTTCTTTCTTTCTCTCTCTCTTTCTTTCTCTCTCTATTTCTCTCTTTCTTTCTTTCTTTCTTTCTCTCTTTCTTTCTTTAGAGAGAAGCTTAGTTACTGAACTCACCCTCATCCTTTCCCACCTCCCCACCTCCGCTCTTTCCTCCCCCTTGCCCCACCCCCACCCTTCCCTCACTCTTCCCCTTTCTTTCTCCTCATTCCTCCACCCATATTCCAGTCTTCTTCTTCCTTCCTCTACACTTCCTCCACAATTCTCCCACCCCTTCTCTACCCCCCCTCCCTCCCTCCCTCCCCCCCAGGCTAAAGACCTCCCCTACGGATGAGGGAAAGTGGCACCCCAGGTAGTTGCTCTCTGAGGGGGGGGGGGGGAGTGCCAGTGGGTGCCTTCCCCAACGTGTGTCTGAAGGATCGACTTTTTTCCATGTTCACTATTTTTTCCAGTTGTATTTATTTATTTATTTATTTATTTATTTATTTATTTATTTTTGTTTTTTGTGGTTTTCATATTTTGTTTATTATTCATTTACATGTTTATTTGTAATTCTTTATTCATTTTTATCTATTTACGTATTTTTATATCATTATTTTTTAATAGTTTGTATTTATGTATTTATTTACTTATTTCCTATTATTTTTTACATTATTAGTTCCCTATTTTTTAGTCATTTTTATTTATTCCTCTATTTTTATATTCTCTTTTATCATTTTTTTCTACGAGTGCTAGAGAGTCGGTCATTGCACTTTCTTGCCCCTCGCGCCTTCTCTGAAGTACTGAGGCGGTCGAGATGCTTCGGAGGCCTGCTTAAAGTGCCGTTTTTGAAGCGTTTTTTTTATGAGAAGAACGCCTTGAAGAAAATATTAGATAGGCCTATGTTGCGTTGTCACAGGGCTGGGGAAAGACATGATTTTTTAAAGCATTAATAACCGTTTTTTCTTTCTTTCTTTCCTTCTATTCTTTTTTCTTTCGTTTTTTTTTTCTTTATTGCTCCTTTTTCGTCTTTATTACAAGGCACAGCTGGAATGCCCTCGTGTGCCCTAAAGTGATAGGGCTAATTTTCACCGTGCTACTGTTTATACTGAGGGAGGTAAAAAAAAATCATAATTTTCATAGAATGTCTTACTGCAGCCATACCTTCAGGGGATTAGACGAGACGTTTGTGGTAGAAAGAGAGGGGGAGAGAGGGAGGGAAGGAGGAAGGGAGAAAGAGAGAAGGAGAGGGAGGGAGAGGGGAGAAAGAGAGGAGAGGGAGAAGGAGGGGGTTGGAGGTAGAAGGAAGGGTGGTGGAGGGAAGGAGGAAGGAAGAAAGAGAGGGAGAGAGGAGGGAGGTAAGGAGGAAAGGGGAGGGAGGGAAGAAGGAAGGGAGATAGAGAGAAGGAGAGGGAGAAGGGGAGGGAGAAAGAGAGAAGAAGAGGGAGAAGGAGGGGGGGGATGGAGGGAAAGAGGAAGGGAGAAAGAGAGGAGAAGGAGAAGGAGGGGGAGGGAGGAAAGAGGGAGGAAGGAAGGAAGGGAGGGAGGAAGGGAGAGGAGGAGAGGAGAGGGAGGGAGAGAGAAGGAAGGAAGGAAGGAGAGGAGAGGCGAGATATGAGATAAGAGTGATGAGTGACGAAAGGAGAGAGCGCGAGAGAGATACAGATAGAGAGAGGAAAATAAAAAGAGAGAGGGAAGGAGTAAGAGAGAGAGAGAGAGAGAGAGAGAGAGAGAGAGAGAGAGAGAGAGAAAGAGAGAGAGAGACAGAGAGGAGTAAGAGAGAGAGAGAGAGAACACGAATCAGCATCAGTAATCTCTCTTCCCCATTCACCCAAAATCATCACCCTATCTTCTAATTCCCCCTTTTTTTCCCCCTCTCACAGGCGGAAAGTCTCGCGAGGGCTGTCCAATCCTCACCTTCCCAGACAAGGGGAATTTCGCCCAACTCGGTGACGAAGAGTACAGAAAACTTATCATCTACCTCACCTCTGTGCCCTCGTAAGTATTCGCTCTTTTCGTTTTGTAAGTAGATTTTTGTAAGTATAGAGTATATGTAAGTTTTGGTAGTAGTAGGTTAGTTGTCAAAAAAAAACAAAAAACGGCAGCTGTGCGTAAGTTTTGGTTGTAAAAAGTGGACCCAACCACCATGGATTTACGTTCTGTCCCCTGTAGATTTTTTTTAATGAATTTTGTCACATACAGATGGCTCTCCATGTGCTCAGCCGGCAAGGAGTCTATCAGTAGCCCAAGTGACCGATCCTGATTTCTCCATATCCTTTTAATACAATTGATATCAATACTGTTATTGTTGTTATTGATTTTATGATTTTATTAGATTATTATTTAAATCTTGGTAACATTTAAGGCAATGAAATAATACAAAAGACCCCTTCCAAAAGTCAGGGAAAAGGGTAAACAGGTGAGATAGGTAGGACTAGTAACTGACTCCTTGGTGATTAAGAACTTGTAGAGACCATCTGTGTGTAAATACAATAAATAACTTTATATTACAGTGGGCATATATTCTTGATATCCGTGCCGATTGGGTTTAGTGTCAAAATGGTATAGTGAAGTAAAGAACGCTATACATCTCTCTGTGTATGTTTGGTATACTGTCATATTTATTTCAGGTTTTTATTTACACTAAAATGTATATATTTCGTCATTATAAGTCTATCCTCTAAGAATGAATCTGCATTCATTTCTTTTTCTTTTCTCTTCATTTCATTTCTTTTCGTTTTCTCTCCTTTTTACCTTTGGTCCCTCGCGTCGCCAAGGTTATTATTCTGTGATACTGACCCTGTTTTCTCTCTCTCTTCTTATTACTGCGTTATTTGCCGTCTCTTCCTCTTGTTTCTTCATCCGGTAATTTGATCTTTTAAGCATTGCTCGCTATTCATCTGGTATTTTTGGTATTTTTACTTTTTTCATGAGTAATAGTTCCATTTTTTTTCACTTGCATTTTCTACCTTTGCCCACACACACGCACTTGTACACACACATGCACATGCACACACACATGCACATGCACACACACATGCACACACACATGCACACACACATGCACATGCACACACACTCATGCACATGCACACACACTCATGTACGTACACACACACACACACACACACACACACACACACACACACACACACACACACACACACACACACACACACACACACACACACACACACAAACCCCCTACAATGAAGTGACAAAAGACTATCTGAATGATATTAAACCCATAAGTATCGAAGTTTACAAAATTAATATGAAAATCACAGGTAGACGAGTTAGACCATTAATATGTTATAAAATTCCATGGCAATAGTGAGTCAATACCAAGTGATCATGTTTTTGATTGTATCCTAGATTTCATTTAGTTATTTGTAGTTATTTTCTTCATTTATCTGTCTATTCATTTATTTATTTATTTATTTTTATTTTTGTAGATTAAGGATATAATAAAGCAAGAAAGTCCTCTTTTGCCTCTAAGTTAAGACCAAATACAGGCCCAAGGTTTCCAGAAGTTTTACTTTTTACGACTTTCGAGTCTCCGAAATGAACAATAATGGTGGAACTTCTTGATGTCAAAATGTAAAATGTGGACCAAAACAAGGCTGTTCTTTGTTCTATGTCGTTAGTGGTCCATTTCCCCTCACTCCCCCCCTCCCCCCATCGCCATACAGCATAGTAGTCTCGTGTGTCTGTTGGTGATGAGGGGGGGGGTGTTAATTAATATGTTAATACGTAATGAAGGGTAGATATTTGGATAAGAACTGATCGGGTTACATCTCAAGACATCCATATGAGAAATGGATAGACAGATAATATTCAAAATATTCTTAATCCAATTGACATGGATGGCAAGAATACATGCCATGCCCACTGTCATATAAGTTCATTTATTATTGTCACGAACACAGTAACGTAGACACAAAAATGAAAATGAAAACAGCCAGAGTAAGAAAGGAATACAAATCGTAACGTTTCGAACTCTTCACGATGATCCATTAAGGGGATAAGGGGGGGGGGGTAGGGAGCTAGGCTAGGGGTGGGCAGACAGGGGGGGGGGGGAGCAAGGGGAGAGGGAAGGGGGGGGGAAGCAGGGGTGAGGGCGTGAGGGAGGAGGTGGGGGGGGAGGGGAGGGGAGGGGAAGAGAGAGGTAGGGGAATGGTGCAAGGGGGTGGGAGGGGGGAGGGAGGGATGTTGCATCGATGTTGCACTTCACTCATATGTGTTGATGGTATTGAATAGACGTCGAATTCACTTTTTTTTTTTTTTTTTTTTTCATTTTTATTTCCCTTCCTTTTTTCAAATTTGTAGTTCAGTGTTTTTTTGTTTTGTTTTTTCTTTGTTTTTATTCCCTTGTTTATCATTGCTGCGGAGATTATCGTATTTTTTGCTACTCTTATTGTACTTTATTTAAGGTCAGTTTTCATCATTAATATTTTCCACTTCTTATTTTATTTATATGTTCTTTATTCTTTTTTTTTTCTCTCCTTCACCCACCCCCTTCTTATTCCATGATAGGTTTTATGATTTTTTTTCCTTGATCCTTATTTTATTCTCACTCCGATTCTTTGATTTTTTCATTTATTATTATTTTTTTTTTTTCTCGCATTTCCGATATCCTAATTTCGCTAAGACGGTAAGGGCCGCAAAAAATCGGAGTAGGAAACCTCGGAAACCTCTTGAAAACACGTTGGAAACCTCTTGAAAACTCAATAGAAACCACGTGGAAACTCTGAAAAATCTCTTGGAACCTTTTTGGAAAACCTCTTGGAAAGCTTTTGAAAACTCAATAGAAACCACTTGGAAAACTCTTGGAAACCTTTTGAGAACTTGAATGGAAACCCCTTGGAAACGTCCTAGAAAACCTTTTGGAAACCCTTGGAAATCTCTTCAGAAACCTCTTGCAATACTCATTGGAAACCTCTTGGAATACCCATTGGAAACCTTATTGAAACATTTTGGAAAACCTCTTGGAAATCCCTTTTTAAAAATGGAAACCTCTTGAAACTAAATAGAATCCCTGTGGAAACCTTTTGGAAAGCCCTCGGAAACCCATTAGAAAGCCCACGGAAACCTCTTGCTAGTAGCAGCGCCCCCCTTGCTTTCTCCTGGTCAAAGGCCGAAACCTTAAGAGATTCACAAAAGCGTTCAAGTTTTTACTGAATTTGGAACGAACGATGGTTGTGTGTCTCGCTCTCTCTTTCTTTCTTTCTCTCTTTCTTTCTCTTTCTTTCTTTCTCTCTTTCTTTATTTTTTCTTTCTTTATTTTTCTATTTTTCTTTCTTTCTTTCGTTCTTTCTCTCTCTCTCTATTTTTCTTTCTTTCTTTCTTTTTTTTCTTTCCCTCTATCTATTTCTTTCTTTCTTTTTTCTCTCTTTCCTTCCTTCCTCCCTCCCTCACTCACTCACTCACTCACTCTCCCTCTTCCCCCCCCCCTCCCTCCTTCCTTCCCTTCATCCTCTCTTCCCACTTTCTATTTTAACCCCCCCCCCCTCCCCCACTTCCCCGCCCCGCTCCTAAGACTGTCCCTCCCCGCGGATTTGTCCAAAACACAAGAATCCGCCAGTGTATAGCTTCCGCGGGCCGCCTTACCTCGAAGATCGCTCCCTTCCTCCCTACCCCCTACCTTACCCTGTCACCCCCCCCCCCACCCCCACCCCACCACATGCCATATTCTACTCCCAGCCCTGTTAAATCCACCCACCCGCCCTCCACCTCCTACCACTCCTATCACTCCTACCTACCTTACTCCACCCGTCCCTTCCCACGCCCTCCCGTCTCCACCATCCACTCACCCACCTACCCCCTCCCCTCTCCACCCCATCCCCTCCACCTACCACCCCCTACCACCAACCCCATTCCCCTCTCCACCCCCTACCCCCCCCCTCTCCACCCCCTACCACCCAACCTCCTCCCCTCTCCCCCTTACCCCCCTCCCCCCCTACTCCAGTCGATATTAGAGCGAGGAGAATTTTTCCCGCGGACAGATTTAACTCCGGCAGGAAGGCAATCCGAGGCATCAGCGAGGGCCGGGGAGACTCAGAAGATGAGAAACCCGATATAGTGATTGAAATCCTGACAATGTGTCTCGCCGTGAGAGAAGGCGGGGGTGGTGGGGAGGGGAGGGGGGAAGGGGAATGGGGCGAGGGAGGGGCCGACAGGTGAGTGTGGAAGGGGGTGGGGAAGGGGAGGAGGTGGGGGGAGGGGGAGGGGAAGAGAGAGGTAGGGGAATGGTGCAAGGGGGGGGAGGGGGAGGGAGGGATGTTGCATCGATGTTGCACTTCACTCATATGTGTTGATGGTATTGAATAGACGTCGAATTCACTTTTTTTTTTTTTTTTTTTTTTCATTTTTATTTCCCTTCCTTTTTTTCAAATTTGTAGTTCAGTGTTGTTTTTTTTCTTTGTTTTTATTCCCTTGTTTATCATTGCTGCGGAGAGTATCGTATTTTTTGCTACTCTTATTGTACTTTTTTTAAGGTCAGTTTTCATCATTAATATTTTCCACTTCTTATTTTATTTATATGTTCTTTGTTTATTTTTCTTTCTTTTTTTCTCTCCTTCACCCACCCCCTTCTTATTCCATGATAGGATTTTTTATTTTTTTCCTTAATCTTTATTTTATTCTCACTTCGATTCTTTGATTTTTTCATTTATTATTATTTTTTTTTTCTCGCATTTCCGATATCCTAATTTCGCTAAGACGGTAAGGGCCGCAAAAAATCGGAGTAGGAAACCTCGGAAACCTCTTGAAAACACGTTGGAAACCTCTTGAAAACTCAATAGAAACCACGTGGAAACTCTGAAAAATCTCTTGGAACCTTTTGGAAAACCTCTTGGAAAGCTTTTGAAAACTCAATAGAAACCACTTGGAAAACTCTTGGAAACCTTTTGAGAACTTGAATGGAAACCCCTTGGAAACGTCCTAGAAAACCTTTGGAAACCCTTGGAAATCTCTTCAGAAACCTCTTGCAATACTCATTGGAAACCTCTTGGAATACCCATTGGAAACCTTATTGAAACATTTGGAAAACCTCTTGGAAATCCCTTTTTAAAAATGGAAACCTCTTGAAACTAAATAGAATCCCTTTGGAAACCTTTTGGAAAGCCCTCGGAAACCCATTAGAAAGCCCACGGAAACCTCTTGCTAGTAGCAGCGCCCCCTTTGCTTTCTCCTGGTCAAAGGCCGAAACCTTAAGAGATTCACAAAAGCGTTCAAGTTTTTACTGAATTTGGAACGAACGATGGTTGTGTGTCTCGCTCTCTCTTTCTTTCTTTCTCTCTTTCTTTCTCTTTCTTTCTTTCTCTCTTTCTTTATTTTTTCTTTCTTTATTTTTCTATTTTTCTTTCTTTCTTTCGTTCTTTCTCTTTCTCTCTATTTTTCTTTCTTTATTTTTTTTCTTTCCCTCTATCTATTTCTTTCTTCTTTTTTCTTTCTTTCCTTCCTTCCTCCCTCCCTCACTCACTCACTCACTCACTCTCCCTCTTCCCCCCCCCCTCCCTCCTTCCTTCCCTTCATCCGCTCTTCCCACTTTCTATTTTAACCCCCCCCCTCCCCCACTTCCCCGCCCCGCTCCGAAGACTGTCCCTCCCCGCGGATTTGCCCAAAACACAAGAATCCGCCAGTGTATAGCTTCCGCGGGCCGCCTTACCTCGAAGATCGCTCCCTTCCTCCCTACCCCCTACCTTACCCTGTCACCCCCCCCCCCCCACCCCCACCCCACCACATGCCATATTCTACTCCCAGCCCTGTTAAATCCACCCACCCGCCCTCCACCTCCTACCACTCCTATCACTCCTACCTACCTTACTCCACCCGTCCCTTCCCACGCCCTCCCGTCTCCACCATCCACTCACCCACCTACCCCCTCCCCTCTCCACCCCATCCCCTCCACCTACCACCCCCTACCACCAACCCCATTCCCCTCCCCTCTCCACCCCCTACCCCCCCCCCTCTCCACCCCCTACCACCCAACCTCCTCCCCTCTCCCCCTTACCCCCCTCCCCCCCTACTCCAGTCGATATTAGAGCGAGGAGAATTTTTCCCCGCGGACAGATTTAACTCCGGCAGGAAGGCAATCCGAGGCATCAGCGAGGGCCGGGGAGACTCAGAAGATGAGAAACCCGATATAGTGATTGAAATCCTGACAATGTGTCTCGCCGTGAGAGAAGGCGGGGGTGGTGGGGAGGGGAGGGGGGAAGGGGAATGGGGCGAGGGAGGGGCCGACAGGTGAGTGTGGAAGGGGGTGGGGAAGGGGAGGAGGTGGGGGAGGGGGAGGAGGTGGGGGAGGGGGAGGAAGGGTTAGAAGGAGGAGGTGGGGAAGAGGAAGAAGAGGAGGAGGAGGAGGAAGAGGAAGAAGAAGAGGAGGATTGAAAGAAGGAGATGGAGAAGAGGAGAAGGATTAGAAGAAAGAAGAAGAGGGGAGAGGGGAGGAGGAGAAAGAGCAGGAAGAGGAATAAGGAGAAGGAAAACGAAGACGATGGAAACGGATGATTATGAGAAAGAGGAAGAGAAGGAGGAGAACAAAAAGGAGGAGGAAAGGAAATGAAGAGAAGGAGAAAGAGAGAAAAAGAGATGGCTACTAATAGTCACACCGATGACGTAACGTGATGCGAGTTTGTTGCTACAGATTAAGGGAATCTTGGGCTGACAGAAGGGTAAAGGGCGGTTTGCTGTTGCTGCCTTTTCTGTCTCCTCTCCTCCTCCTCCTCCTCCTCCTCCTCCTCCTCCTCCTCCTCCTCCTCCTCCTCCTCCTCCTCCTCCTACCCCTCCCCCTCCCCCTTCCCTTTCCTCCTCTCCTCCTCTCCTCCTCCTCCTACTCCTCCTCCTCTCTCCCTCCCCCCCTACCCCTTCTCCTCCTCCTCCTCCTCCTCCCAACTCCTCCTCTCCTCCTTCTTCTTCTTCTTCTTCTTCTTCTTCTTCTTCTTCCTCCTCCTTTACGCCGACTGATCGCCTCGAGCGCGGAATCAAGAGGCCTCCAATTCAAAAACCCGGAGAGCTTTTTGCTGAATGTGTTCGCTCTCTTTGGCACTTTCTCTCTTTGTCTCCTCTTCCCTCTCCTCTTCTTCTCCTTCTGCTTCTGGTTCTTGATCTTTTTCTTTCTTATTCTTAGTCTGGTTCTTCGTCACACACACACACACACACACACACACACACACACACACACACACACACACACACACACACACACACACACACACACATACACACACACACACACGCAAACAGACAGACAATCAGACAGACAAACAGACAGACAGACAACCAGAAACCAGACAGACAACCAGACAGACAGACAGACAGACAGAGGAAGATATTGGGCGCCACTTCATCAGCAAGACATAAAAAAACGACTAATTGGAGGTGTTCTCCAGGCAGACGGAGGCCGACATTATTGTGGCGGCGATATTGCGTCCAGAATGCGGCGGGGGGGGGGGGGGGGGAAGGGAAGAAGGGGGTGAAAGGGAAGGGAGATAGGGCGGTTAGGAGGAAGGGGGTGAGAAGGGAGGGAGAAGGGAGGGAGGAAGGGGATGAGGAGGGAGGGAGGAAGGAAGAGGGAAGGGAGAAAGGGGGGGTTAGGAGGAAGGGAGAAAGGGAGATGAGGAGGGAGGGAGGAAAGGGTACGAAGAGGAAGGGGGATGATGGTGTAGGTGGGAGAGAAGAGGAGGAAGGGGTAATAGGAGGGAGGGAGGGAGAAAGGGTGACTAGGAGGAAGGCAGAAGGAAGAGAGGAAGAGGGATGACGGGATGGATGGGAGAGAAGAGGAAAGAGGGATTGGGAGAAAGGGAGAAAGCGAGAAAGGAGGGATTAAGAGGAAGGGTGATTAAAGACGAAGGGAAGAGAAAAGGG